ATACTGGAGTGGTTTGCCATTGCCTTCCCCAGGGATCACGCTTGGTCTGACCTCTCTGCCACAACCGTCCCGTCTTGGGTGGCCCTTCACGGTTTCGCTCATGACATCATTGAGGTGCTCAAGCTCCAGCGCCCCGACAAGGCGGTGATCCTTTGCTGGAGAAATTGCCTCTATGTCTCTCTATATATGTTATATGTCTAATGGCATTGAATGTTTGCCATGTATGTGCATTGTAATCCACCCTGACTCTACTGCGGGGTGGGAAGGGCGGAGTACAAATACTGTAAATAAATAAATAATAAATATTGAAAATTCATTGTGCTTTCTTCACATTTGTATGCATATCTCAACTTCTCCACTATATTGCTGGAGTTTTCTTTGTGAAAAAACAGTCAAAGTATCATTAAAAATCACCTGGTAAATGTAAGTCGTTGATAAATGAAATATTGTATTGGTCAGTCCATTAAGCCAAGTCTTTTACTTTCTTTGACCAATCTTGAAAAAAAAACCTCACAAAAGTCTCATTCAAATCAGAGCATATAGGTGATATCCATAAAATTTAATGTTAGGAGGCAATTCTAGGCTATTAAAGTGATGCAGTGGACACATTCCAGCCAAAACCATGCCCTTTATGTTACATTCATTTCAGTGGGAGAATTAAGCAGTTCCTTAAATCTCTCCCCTGTGTTACACTGCATTATTGAAGAAGATTGGAAAATCAATAGATAGAGAGATTGAATATGCATTTAATTTACCATTACATAAGAAGAGGGCCTCCGCAGGAAATAAGAAATATGTTGCATATCAAACATTCTCCATCAACTGCAGTCTATGTTGCATCATGTTTGCTATCAAATAACATGGTTATGATCATAACAAAGATAAATGTGGAATTAAATGAATAGGTTCTATCATTCAAAATGTCTGTGTTGACTTTTGGCCTGTGCTATTTTGTAACATAGACAAAAACTATAGCTATCCGTTGTGAATTGCTACTGACAGAGAGTTAAATTAAACTGAAATTAAATCCAGACAAGACAGAGGTACTCCTGGTCAGTCGTAAGGCCGAGCAGGGTATAGGGTTACAGCCTGTGCTGGATGGGGTCGCACTCCCCTTGAAGGCGCAGGTTCGCAGCTTGGGTGTGACCCTGGACTCATCGCTGAGCCTGGAGCCCCAGGTTTCAGCGGTGACCAGGGGAGCATTTGCACAGCTTAGGCTCGTGCGCCAGCTGCGCCCGTATCTTGGGAAGCCGGACTTGGCCACGGTGGTACATGCTTTGGTCACATCCCGCCTCGACTACTGCAACGCTCTCTACGTGGGGCTGCCCTTGAAGACGGCCCGGAAGCTTCAGCTAGTCCAACGCGCGGCAGCCATGTTATTAACAGGAGCAGGACGCAGAGAGCGTACTACGCCCCTGCTGTCCCAGCTCCACTGGCTGCCGATTTGCTACCGGGCCCAATTTAAGGTGCTGGTGTTGGCCTACAAAGCCCTAAACGGTTCCGGCCCAAAATACCTGTCTGACCGCATCTCGGCCTATGAGCCCACGAGGACTTGAGATCGTCTGGGGAGGCCCTTCTCTCGATCCCGCCTGCCTCACAGGCACGTCTGGCGGGGACGAGAGAGAGGGCCTTCTCGGTGGTGGCCCCCCGGCTGTGGAACACCCTCCCTACTGAAGTTAGACAGGCGTCCTCTTTGATGGCCTTTCGTAGGAGCCTGAAAACTTGGCTCTGCGAGCAGGCCTTCAACTAAGTGTATCTGTGGAACGACGTTAGAATGGATTATGACTACGAACTTGGCTATGACCCCAGGATTAGACGAAGCGGATTTTTAGTATAAGTATATGTCGTAGTAGTAGTTTGTTATGTACTGTTATGATTTTGTATGCTGTCTTTCTATGTTGCTGTTCACCGCCACGAGTCGCCCCTAGGGCTGAGAGTGGCGGTCAATAAGTGCAAGAAATAAATAAATAAATAAATAAATTAAATATGCACAGTTGCTTATAGATTTCTGGCTGCAGCTCTCTGCTTTCATGGTATTATATTAAGAAATATTTTATTTATCTGTATATTTACACTTAACATCGATTTTCTGAAATTGTGCCATTATGCATTATAATTCTATATCTAACTTGCATTGAAACTCTTTGCCTTTGAATTCCACTTCTTTATGGAAGTTTGTTAATGCTTACTCTTTTATAAAAGGGATTTCACTTCCAAAGTCCAAATACTTTTATGCTCTCCTGTTTCAGTAAATGTTATTCTTTTTTCCTTCTTTCAAATTAAGTTACCTTATTCTCTTCTTCTGATTCAACAAAATAGTCCCTTTTTTAAAAAAGCAGATCTTGTTCTCCAGGATATTTATAACATTCTCCAATCTAGCATTCTTGGGCATCTTATAGCCTCTCTTGTAAATAATGGATGAGGGTATTAAAAGAGCTAATTTGGTTCTTGTCCGTCAACCAAACTGCCATTTATCATTTACTCCGTTCTTTTGTCTTTGCCATTTTTAGCACACATGATCGCTCTGTGAGACTCAGATTGTTATTAAAAGGCAGGAAGTATTGTCAAGATCAAGGCACATGACAAACTATCCCATGGTGCCTACTTTCATGGCTGACATTGAGGCAATCAACTTATGAGTGTGTCTTACTTCCGGTTTCATCACTTCCTCATAAGATAGAAGTGGAGCAGAAGTCATCCCTAAATGTTCACATAACATATAGGGATTTCCAGACTTTTCATGCAGAGTAAACTGGTTTAGTCTTGTGTTAAGGAAAGGCAAGGAATACTCTAAAGTTTTATTGATTTACTTACTTCATTTATATACCACTTTTCTTATCCGGGGGTAGGGGGGACGACTCAAACTGGTTTCCAACATATATACGGCAAAATTCAATGCCTCACATACATAAAAACCTTACATAAAATAATAATAACACACAGCTATCAATTATATCATAAAAATGCAATGACATTTAAACATTAAAACACGGAGTTAAAAACCTATTAATATAAATGTTAAAATCACACAATCCAACAATCCTAATCCAGGGCCGTTCCAAATATCAATATCTATTGTACATGATCCTGATCATTCCTTGTATTGCTTACTGCCCATAAGCTTGGTCCCATAGCCAGGTTTTTACTTTTTTTCTGAAGGCCAAGAGAGAGGGTGCTGATCTATTTTCACTGGGGAGAGAGTTCCATAGCCAAGGAGCCACCATTGAGAAGGCCCTTTCTCTCATCCCCACCAGTCGCACCTCCCCGGACAATCTTAATCTCTGAGATGGTTCATAGAGGGAGATGCGTTTAGACAGGTAAACTGGGCCGGCTTTATAGGTTAAAGCCAGCACTTTCAATTTTGCTCAGTAGCAGACTGACAGCCAGTGGAGTTGGTGTAATGGGGGGCTGTGTACCCTGCTCTGGTGAGCAGTCTGGCTGCTGCCCGTTGGGCCAGTTGGAGCTTCTGAACAGTATTCAAAAGCAACCCCACGTACAGTGCTTTGCAGTAATCTATACAGGATTTAACCAGAGCATGGAGTACTGTGGCCAAGTCTCACTTTCCAAGGTATCGGTGCAACTGGCACACAAGTTTTAATTGTGCAAAAGCTCTCCTGGTCACCGCCAAAAACTGGGGTTCCAGGCTCAGCGATGGATCCAGGATCACTCCCAAGCTGCTCCCAAGCTGCTCACCAGAGCAGGGTACACAGCCCCCCGTTACACCAGCTCCACTGGCTGTCCATTCCTATGGGCAAGAATTATTGGTATTCTTGTCCAAAAATTTCTCTAGGGCTACATGTTTCTAATGTTTGATTTAAGGGACACCTAAGCTACATTGGCCCCCTGGGTGGTGCAGTGGGTTAAACTGCTGAGCTGCTGAACTTGCTGACCAAAAAGTTAGTGGTTTGAATCCGAGGAGCAGGGTGAGCTCCTGCTGTTAGGCCCAGCTTCTGCTAATCTAGCATTTGAAAACATGCAAATGTGAGTAGATCAATAGGTACCACTTCTGTGGGAGGGTAATGGCACTCCATGCAGTCATGCTCGTCACATGACCTTGGAGGTGTTTATGGACAATGCCAGCTCTCCGACTTAGAAATGGAGATGAGCACCATACCCCAGAGTCAGATATGACTAGACTTAATGTCAGGGGAAACCTTTACCTTTAAGGTACATTGTTAAAATTAGCTACAGGATAGGCAATTGTGGAATCTACAGTATACCTTCATTACTATGCACATAGATGGGGACTCTTAAACATGTTAATAGTAGTTTAGCAACCTTTTATAGCAGAAGCAAGCTCCAGAAGCATTCTTCCTGTAACTTGTGAGATACATCTTTAGTAAACAAGTGGCTCATTAAACAATATTTCTGCATTTGTATTACTGTATAGTAACTGGGTAGAGTCCCCTGTGGCGCAGTGGGTTAAACCACTAAGCTGCTAAACTTGTTGACCGAAAGGTCGCAGATTTGAATCTGAGGAGTGGTGTGAGCTTCTGCTGTTAGCCCCAACTTCTGCCAACCTTGCAGTTCAAAAACATGCAAATGTGAGTAGATCAATAGGTACCGCTTCGACGGGAAGGTAATGGCGCTCCATGCAGTCATGCTGGCCACATGACCTTGGAGGTGTCTATGGACAACACCGGCTCTTCAGCTTAGAAATAGAGATGAGCATCACCACCCCAGAGTTGGACACGACTGGACAATGTCAGGGGAAAACCTTTACCTGTACCTATAGTAACTGGAGTGTGATGGCTTTTCTTCACTTACAACTTTCTCCTCCTTCGGGGTGAAATATAAAGTTCGACTCTGACATAGCATTTACTATAAGCGTTTGCCTTGTTATTTAGATCAGCACTGTGACTGTGGCATGAGGAAGGGGAAAATAAATCATGTTGATGTTTCTTTAAATTTCTTACAAGTGAGATTTTGATATGGACAGTTGTATATTGTCTTCCTGTGACGGAGTAGATGCCCCGACCTTGAGCAGCTGCACTTTAATATTTTCCATGTGCATTATGACTGTGTCGCTGCTATTTCCCCCTGGCAATTTACTGGCTCCACAGCATATTCATTTTCTCCCCACAAACACATGCACACAGACACAAACACACCCTCTCCCTTGAAAAATGGGATTCAAACCGAATGCCTTGCTCTCTTTTTGCTACCTGCTTGCATGCTGATTCAATGATGAGGACAAATGCCTGTGTGTAGAGTTGGGCTTGCAGACCCCGCCCCTGACTAAATGGTCTGTGAGGTTGCAGCAGTATCTGCTATAAGGAGAAAGCTGCTGGGGAAAGTGAACCTTTGCTGTCCTGGATCCAGTTGGACTACAAGTGTTCAGCACATCAGACAGCCTGTCTGTGCCGTTAGAAGAGACCAGAGCGGGACCATCCTGTTCAGCATCTCCTGCCTGTTCAGGATCCGACTTGCATTCTTTTCTTGGGGGTGAGATTCCTTTGAAGGTGGAAAGGAGAGGAAAAAATCTCACTCCCACCCACAAGTCCAGAGAAATCTGCCTGCTTTTAACAAGGCTTCTGAAAAGAAGCAGTGAGTGATACAAACTGGGACAGAAGTTCTTGCCAGGAACTATTCACTTCTATTGGCAAAAGTGGTCTGACTCTCTTCGGAGGAGCACCTTAGTATATAAGATGAGTGGGTGTCGAAAACGGTGTAAACGGGAAATACTGAAATTTGCCCAGTATCTTCTCAGGCTAATCACAGGTTCGCTCCATACAGGTAATGATTATTTTTCCTTTATTTTTGAATGTAATATTGTAGCTGTCTCTATGCACTTTGTTTACTGCACTTTCCGGTTTAGTGGACAATCGTCATTGAGTAAAATGATAAGGATAAACAATATCACACATGTGTTTATGGAGCTGTAAATAGTGTCGGAACTGCAAATTGTGTTACATTATACTAAAATGTGTAATTACATTCGAATTGCAACAGTGCTGTTAAATATGTATAGGTAGGTACTACCTGGAGAGAGTTTTCTTTTTTTGTAAGAAAAATGTGGTCCATTATGCTTCCCTCTGTTGCTTGGCTTATTAAGGCAGACTTTAATATGTGAACAATGTTCGTGTTATCGTACTTGGCACGGAGAGATGGTCTTGAAATATAAATCAACTGATAGATGTTAACATGACATTAAAATTCTATCAGGGTGAGTTTTGAAAAGACTGGGTTTCAGAGTATTTGAAGTCTGTGAAATTCTGTAATCTCTCTCCTGACAGCGGAGCCCTTGAAACTGGCACGAGGGTTACAAGGGTGTGCACATGTACGCGTGTGTGTGTGTGTGCTTGTGTTGATTAATCATGGCTAAAATGGGAGAAAGTAAAAAAAATCTTCAAAGATTTTTTTTAAAAAAGAATCAGGGTTTCAGAAAATAGGGCAGCTATTCTAAATAAGACTTTGGAAAATATGCTTTCATCATTGGAATACGTATGCAATAAAGCACTTTTGTCAGATGATAAACAGCCTTGCTTATAGAGTGCAGTGGCATCTTCTAGGTGACATTAAAATCGAAAGTAATATTTTGGAATACTGTAATTTTTCTCTCATTGTTATTGAGAACATCTGTTTGAGTTGTGTTTGAGGGTGAAATTTTGGAGATTATTGTTTGTATATGTGTACATATAGAATATATACTTATAATTGCACACCCATGTCCATGTTGTAGTATCTTTGATCTCGTCAAAAATAAGGTGTGTTTAGAACATGATAGATCTTTAAGTCAAATGCCAAGATTCATTTACTACTACTACTACTACTACTATTATTACCATCATCATCATCATCATCTTTACTAGCCATCCCCTGCCATACGTTGCTATGGACCAGTCTGGTGATCTGGAAAATAAAGTAATGAGAAAGTGTTAGTTTCTAATATATATATAATCTCGTTATGCTTTTGGGTTAAAAGTATTTCTTGCTGTTTCTTTGTCAGTGTAGATGTGGAGATTGTCTGGTTTGCCTACTCTAGAACATGCAACATATAATTGTCCTTCTTTAGGGGTCCCTTTCAAATCTATGATACTATATCTCTCTCTGTGTGTGAATCAAATATATCTATACCTATGGCTGGATGACTCTTTGTCAGGAGGGCTTTGATTACGTTTTCTAGCCCTGGTGAAGGGAGTTGGACTGGATGGCCTTAAGTATATTCTGTTGGTCATGGGGGTTTGGTGTAGGAAGTTTGCCCGAATTCTGTCATTGGTGGGGTTCAGAATGCTCTTTGATTGTAGGTGAACTATAAATCCCAGTAACAACTCCCAAATGTCAAGGTCTATTTCCCTCAAACTCCATCTGTGTGCATATTTGGGCCAAGTTTGGTCCAGATTCATCCTTGTTTGAGTCCGTGGTACTTTCTGGATGTAGGCGAACTACAACTTCCAAACTCAAGGTCAATGCCCACCAATCCCTTCCAGTATTTTCTATTGGTCATGGGAGTTCTGTGTGCCAAGTTTGGTTCAATTCCATCATTGGTGGAGTTCAGAATGCTCTTTGATTGTAGTTGAACTATAAATCCCAGCAACTACAACTCCCAAATAACAAAATCAATTATTGAGTGATGGTCACTCCTTGGGTTAGTAGGTGTCTTCTGGCCAAATTTGGTGGCAATTCATCCTGTGGTTTTTTGAGTTATGTTAATCCCACAAGTGAACATTACATTTTTATTTATATCTCACCTTTCTTCCCTTGGGGACTCATGGCAGCTAACATTTATCCTCACTAAAAAATTTAAAAAGAGCAATGCAAAAGTTTAAAAAAACAATTAAATAATAACTGTGTGGTTGAAACAGAATGTTATGGCACTCCATGCAGTCATGCCGGCCACATTACCTTGGAGGTGTCTACGGACAACGCCGACTCTTCGGCTTAGAAATGAAGATGAGCACCAAGCCCCCGAGTCAGACACGATGGAACTTAATGTCAGGGGAAAACATTTACCTTTACCTTAAAAAGAGAATTAAAATACAGCAAATACATTAAAATGGCATTTAAAATTTATATCCTCCTAATCCCACCCAGTCTCCCCAGAGCCTCACGTTAACCTTCCCCAAAAGCCTGTTGGCAGAGGAAGATCTTGACCTGTTTGCAAAAGGCCAGCAGGAATGGGGCCATTCTGGTTTCTCTTGGGAGGGAGTTCCAAATAAATTGCATTTTAGTATCACTTCATTGTGTGTGCAAAAAAGTTTTTTTTAAAAAATCATATGAAGTTTGATATTTTTTGTCTTGGCATTTGACAATTTTAATTTTGGTATGTAATGAGGTATACAAGAGTATAAGTAAGTATGCATTAAATGCCTGTCATTGTTGCTGATAAAATTACATTCCCATATTTTTCTAGGGTGTTATTAACCACAACAAAGATGCATGTTTAGGTATGTCTCAAAGCGTCCATGGTCCTTTAGGCTGGAGCAATTGGAATTAGAACCAGCAATTTGTGTGCTTTTGACTGCTAGAGTCAGTCAACACTGCAGACTGAAGAGTTCCAAAGTCTGTGGTGTGATTCCAGAGTTCATGGCAGCACTACCCATACAGGAGGCCCATTGATCTCTCTTGATGTATAGCCATTTTGTAAATTTATGGGTTAGACTTGTACTTTGTGGGGTTTTGATTGGTTGGCTGTCATCCTGACTTTTATTCTTCCAACCTCAGTTCCATGCCTATTGTTTTTCCCTCCAGCTCTCTACATTGTTTATGTGCTAAAAGTAAATGATGGATACAACCCAGTCTAATATTTTAAGTGCTGTTGATTGCAATAAGAAAGAACTAAACTTAGTTGTATTTCTTTCACTACAATTTGAAAGTGCCTGATTTTGCTCAGCTTGAAGCTCTTAGATCAAACCTCCTCATAGTCTGGTTGTGAGGATTAAGGTTGAGGAAGTATGTGCCACCTTCTGCTGGGTGGAGTAAGAACAGCATCAATAATTATATACAGGTTGATTTTGGTATTGAAATATTTTCCATCTGCAAATTCTATTGGGTTCTGAAAAACCAATTAACTCAAAAAAATTGTCAGATGTTGCTAATGATGGACTCTTTCCCCTTGAAGATCAACCAACAAATCACAAGGTTACTCTCTTAGCCCCAAATCCGTTTGTTAATCTTGCATAGAGTAAACCCATTGAATTTATGTGATTTACCTATTTGTTGACTCACCATTCAACAATTGATTGCATGGATTTACTTTTGTTGTTGCTGTTTGCCTTCAAGTTGTTTTCAAATTATGACAGTCCTAAAGTGTTCCTTAGGAAAACCTATCATGGGGTTTTATTCATTGGAAAGGGTGCCTTAGTCTTCATCTGAAGCTGAGAAAATGTGACTCACCCAGAAACTTTCCATAGCTAAGAAGAGATTTGAACCTTGGTCTCCAGAGGCATAGTTCAAAGCCTAAACCTGGGATCATACTGGCTCTCCATGTCTACTATACTCCTTGGTACTAAGGTAATACCTAAGATAAAGGTTTTCCCTTGACATTAAGTCTAGTCATGTCCAACTTGGAGGAGGGGGGGGGGGTGTTCAAAGAACCAAAGAACCAGCATTGTCCATAGACACCTCCAAAGTCATGTGCATGGTATGACTGCATGGAGTGCCATTACTTTCCCGCCGAAGTGGTACCTATTAATCTACTCACATTTGCATGTTTTTGAACTTCTAGATTGGCAGAAGCAGGGGCTAACAGTGGGGGCTCATTCCGCTCCCCAGATTCGAACCACTGACCTTTCAGTCAGTAAGTTCAGCAGTGCAGCGATTTAACCCGTTGCACCACCGGGGACTCCAGATAATGCCTACTTATCCTTTATTAATCAGTTTCTGTTTGAGCCTACAGTTTTACTCTGTCCAATATGTCTGAAATGAAATCTTACAATTGTTGTTGGATGACACCTTGCTTCCCCTAGCAAATAAAACTATTCATGAAGATTTTCTGTAGGCTTAACATTTGGGCTAAAGAGGGGAAAGAAAAAGCAGGGATATTATCATTAGACATTTTTAAAGCGTTTGATTGTGTGGAATGGGAGACATTAAGGGAAATATTGAATAAATTCGGAATGGGAAATAGAATAAAAGGAGTATTAAAACAATTTTACTCAAGAAACTCAGCAGTGGTAACTATAAATGACGGAGTGACAAACGAAATAAAAGTGACTAGAGGAACCAGACAAGGGTGCCCTTTGTCCCCGATACTATTTGCCATGGTGATAGAACTGTTTGCTAATAACATAAGGAATGACAAAAATCTAGAAGGGTTAGGAAAAAAGGAGAAACAGAAGGTGAGTTTATTCGCTGACGATACATTGTTATTTATAGAAAATATAGTGGAGAAAATGGATAGAATAAAAGAACATTTGGAGATATTTGGGAAAGCAACAGGCTTACAAGTTAATTGGAGTAAGTCAGAAATGATGCTACTTAATTATACAAGAGAAGAAGAAAAGATCTTATAGAACAGAGCAAAGGGGGAATAAGAATCAAGAACAAACTAAAATACTTGGGAGTAATAATAACTAAGGATTTAAAAGAGATAGAGGAAGTAAATGTAGTAACATTAAGGAAAGAAGTCCAGAAAAAGTTAATAGAGTACGAAGGAATACACTTATCATGGTTTGGAAGAATAGCATTAGTAAAAATGAAAATACTTCCAAAAATAAATTTCATATTTAGGATGCTACCACTTCAAATTACAGAAGAAGAACTAACTAGATGGCAACAAATGATTAATAAGTACT